AAGAATTTGCATGTGGTCAAGTCTGTAATAAGACTCAGCTGGCCACAAAGCTGCAATGGTATTGGCCTTGGTTCAAGGAGATATGTGCTTGAATTTAACCAGGGAAAATTTTACTCATATATTAAAGGTTTGGTTTGGTGTAGATCCATTTGGCTCACTCACTTATGAAATTACTTTTTCACATTAAAGTAGTCAGTAGTATATTCTCAATGCCATAAATCACTGGTGTTAGGTATCACTATACTATGGCAACTTTGCTGAAACAGTTGGGCTTTGCTTTTGGTGGCTTCTGTATTGACCATAACAAACTCTGCAGATGTGGTAAATTTCACTGACTGCTCTCGAGCCTGGCATTGGATTACAAGAGGTAAAATATTAGACTAATACACATCTACATGTTAAGTAAAGTGAACGCTTTGCTAAATAAATGTTAGATCTGGCCATAATGGAATAGTTTTTATTTATTAGTACTCTCAGCCTAGCAAAAAAGTGTCATGGAAATTTATCAGCCCAGGCAGAAATATCTACTCACCCACACTTTACCACGATGATTGATGATAATGAAAAAACGAATGATATTTTACTCTCATGTCAAAAATTAAAAAAAAAAAGAAACCCTCACCTCAAGCGAGTAAAATCTTCCCAGGCTGATTTGAGGCTATGGACTGTGTGCCTGTAAGGTGTCAGCTGCTAGCAAAAGCCCACATTCTCTCTCTCCCCAACATCACTATATGCCTGCTTTAGACCTATTTTCATAGTTCTGTCTTTATAGCGCTATCATTCAAAATGGTAAAACATCTGAATGTTGGTGGTTTTTTACAGTTTAAAGTAAATTGTTTCTCAGCATATTTGCTCTCATGAAATTCAGAGCAACCACAGGAGAATACAGCGATAAAAGCCAGCCAGTTCCACCCAAAGGTACTAGCTGCACCACAGATTTCAAGGGGTGCACGATGTTCATTTCAAGCTGCTGGCAAATGCCATGTTGTAGCTGCCTGGTTCCAAGCAAGTGAGAATAAGCAGGCACAAGCATTCAGCAATGGAGCAAAACCAACAAGGAGCAGCCTGGTTGTCAGCAGCTGTGTGAAATCAGCAAAAGTCAAATCAATCTGCAGTGACACAATGTTTTCCCCGGAGTCCTGACTTACATCTTATTTTTATGTGAGGCCTTTTTCCAGAATTGTAGAATAAGTACAGCTAGAGATTTGTAAAATAATTAGAAGATCTATACTCTCTCTCTTGCCCTAACAATACAAGCTAACACTGTATTTTAAGATAGTCAAAAGTTCAATGTGAAATAATCCATGAAATGGACGCCATTTATGCACATTACTAGATTACAAACTGAAATCTTGAAAATATCACATTTTACTGATGAATCTGTTGTGCTGCCTGTGGTAGAAAGAGGGATGCCTGGTATTTTTGGAAGCAAGAAGTGAATGCTTTCTCTTCCCTTCTCCATACTGATAATACATCACTGAAACTGAACATTTTATTTGAATATTGAAGAACTTCCATGTGGTCCAACTTCCAACCATAAAACAATTAAATAGACCATTTAATTTCACTGCCCTTTTTCAGACACTGACTTTCTTCTTTACTGAAAATACCTTAACTTGAGTTACCGGGCTGGTCCCTCTCTTCTCATTTTTCATCCCAGTGGGTGAGAGTGCCCCTGTCGTATTTGGTGGCTGTGGAGTAGATGGCATTTTGGCTCCAGGAGAAACTTGCATGCTTGCCAGCTGAGCTGCATACAGTTGCTGGAAGACAAGAAGATATACAATGTATTCCTGCAAAATTCCTAAAAAAAGAAGTTGTAAATGTACATAATTCTTAGTCCTCTGCTGTTTCTTCTCTTAAAGGAATTCTGGATTTTTTTTCAGCACTTTCTTGTTTGTGGGTTTTCCCTTCTTGTTATTTTCAAGGAGAAAAAAAGACTGGAAAACTCCCCCACAGCAATATCTTTTCTCTTAATTTGACTTTTAGCTGGATTTTTTTTTTCCTTCTTGCTAATGATGGTCATAGTAATAAACAAAAGGTTATACAGTGCCCAAATATTAAAAACGAAATTAGCAAGTTTACAAGGTTGATTATGAAAAGAAGGTATAAACCCCTCTCAGAAACAGTGATGCTTCAGGTCTTTCTGTTCTTACCCAGAAATTACCCACCAACTCCAGAACAGCTTTTGGGAGCTGATATAGAAATCGTTTGCTACCAAAAGGCAATGATGCATCTTCTCTAGATAGCAATGAAAGTTAAATAAGGCAACAGGATATGTCTCCATTGTGGTGTACAGTGATTGTTATAACTTCTATAAATGCTAATAAGGAATGTAGGCCCTACAAATTCCTGTAAATAGCGATGAAAATACAAAAACACCCTCATGAAACTTTTAAAAAAGTTTAACTGAAACATAATAAAAGACTTGTACATTAAAAGCCCTATTCCTACCAATCTAGTGTTTACTGAACAAAAACAAATAGGTTTAATTTCCTTCTAGTGACCAAATTTAATCCCTCACCTTGAATTAGCATCAGCAATAATTCTTCTACCATAAACAGGGAAGATCCTAATCCCTCTTCTACACATAAATCTATATAAACTTTGCCTTATTAGTGAGAAAAAAGCCAGGTGGTTTGTATGTAATTTCCAACATTACTATCATTCAGATGGACAAATAAAAAAAATTACAGTAATCAAAAGCAGACCTTTCAGCACATGTAATTAAATGAAAGCTTAATAAAGAATAATTTGCGAGAGCCAGATGTGCTTATGTCATAATTGTTGCTTTCTTTGGAACAATTTTTCTAATATTACAAGCCTCCACAGAACTGAAAGTTACACAATACTGTAAAGCCCAGTGACTCAGTGGCTAGACAAATGCAAGGAGGGGAGAGTCAGAACTCCGGGTGACAAATGAAAACTCTTGCTTGTTTGCTTGTTTCCCGCCACCCCTTTTCAATATCACACAGAGGCTACAAAAGGATCACAGATTCATATTTTGAAATGAATGGCATTTAAATATTTTGGCTAAGGTACTATTTTTCTTGGGCTAGAAAACTAGAAAAATTGAAAGCAGAAAAAATTCCCAGCTTTTGGTGATGTCCCGGAGAATGAAAATGAAGTGTTGTATATAATAGTAAGCAGGGGGGTGTGTGGAGTGTGTGTTCCCCCCTACTACTGGGATCTTGTCCCTTTTAGCATATTCTTCAGATGGATCTATGCTTGCTTAACAGGGTGTTCTGCTTATGTGAGAGTAGGAAGCCCACTTCACATGCTTTCTGAAAGCACGTTCTCAGCCCAGAAATAATCAGGCACTGTACTATGACAGAGACGATACAATAAACTGGAAGACAACTGAAAGACAAACCCCAAAGATTATAATGGATTCCTCAGTGTTCTGTACTTTGTCTATCAAAATATTTTTCCTTTTTTTTTTTTTAAATTAGGAACCTATTTAACATCAACTGTCTGGAGGAATGACAGATTTTACCACAAGTAGCCTAAAACTTTACTACTTAATGTAGCGTGTATTGCACTTTCAAGAACAGGACAGGAATTCTATGGTTTATCAACCGAAGTTCAAAAGAATTTCATTCGCCCTGCTCAGGTAAACCACCAGGGCAAAAAAAGGTGGGGTATGAGTCAATCTTTCTACAAAATTCAGTCTTAGAGGATAGAAGTCAATAGTCAATGAGGGCAAGCAGCGCGGTGTGGTGGGTTCACCCAGGCTGCCAGCCACCCACCCAGCCGTTCTCTGCCTCCCCCTCCTCAACAGGACAGGGGAGAAAATAAGATGAGAAAGCTCATGGGTTGAGATCAGGATGGGGAGATAGATTAGCAGTTACCATCACAGGCAAAACAGATTTGGCTCGGGAAAAATAGTAGAGTTAGATGGTGAGAAACACAGGCAAAAACTAAAATCCCCCATCCCCGCCATTTTCTCAGGCTCAGCTTCATTGCCGACTCCTCCACCCTTGCCCCTCTGGGCTGGCTGCCGGCAGGGCTGTTCCTCACCCTTTCTCCCTCACAATCCTCGCTGCCTGTGCGGCTTTGTGACCTTTCTGGAGAACATTTTCCCAGAGGTGCCACCAGCCTGGCTGTCAGGCTCGGTGGTGCCCTGTGGCGGGGCCGCTGAGGAACCGGTTGGAACCGGCACAGGGCAGGCCCTGGCCACCTCTCCTCACAGCAGTCACCCGCAGCCCCCCTGCCGCCAGCGCCTGGGCATGCACGGCAAACAGAACCTGTAGCCCAGCTAGCCATGACAAGTAAGCAAAGGTGTGTTTATCATCTCTAAAAGCTGCAGCCCACGGTGTGGCTGTATCTTGATCGGATATGTCAAGATCAACGTGAACAGACGCGTGACCCTGGTGGGAGGAGCGCTCGCCGGTGAGGAGGACTGGCAACTGAGGCCTCCACAGCACTTTAAAGGGTCACAGAGATAGCAACCAGAAAAGCGGGCTGTTACAGTGACTATCTAGGAAACGGTTTAATTTTGGAAATGCAACATTAAAAGCAGAATAAAATTAGTTATACACCACTCCCCTTGCAGTATGTTGAGGGTTGTATTGGCTGTACTGCAAGTAGCATGAGGAAAAAATGTTTCTAAAGGGAGACAGAATAAAAGAAATTTTGATGTTTATATATGTGTCTGTGTGTGTGTGTATAATTCATCACTGGGTTACGCCAAGGTCATAGCACTGGCGTTAGCCTGGCATTTCTATAAATTGTTTTACACCATAACAGCAAATGTAAAAATAAGTAACAGTAATTAGCTTTCTGCTTTGCTTTGACTTTAAAACAAAGCTGTTCCACAAATGAGCGCAAATCATGCAAGAATTCGCACTGGCGCTAGCAACACCGCCGCGTGGACCGGGAGGCTGTATGACTTCATTTATACACCAGTTTGTATGGGGAGCTAGCCAGTCTGGAAAAATATGTGCACACCACCATTGCGGGGATAAAATGCATATTTTTGCAAATACCACTGTTGTGGCTCAAAATAGCAATTTAGGACCTCACATTGAGATGGTCAGGTTGTGAAGCTTTTATTTGCAAGATTAAGGAGGGGGAAAAAACCCAAACATTGAATGAATGTTCATTGTTAGCTTTTAATGCCCAAAAGCAAAAGTTTCAATGGAATTTTTTCAGTGGAAATTCTAACCTACTGACTACTGAGTAGTGACTAAAAAAATTAACCTACCTCAAACACTGAAACATATCCTATTTTCAGTGTACGTCTAGCACATAAAGAGAAGAGCATTTCATAACCCTTACACCAACCACTGACTCAGAAAGCTCTTGATTACAAATTAGATATTCAAAGCCATCAAGTATTCAAGATTGTTTTAAGCAGCCTTAAAAATGTATAGCCCGGGTTCCTGTTTTTTCAAAAGGTCACTAAGTTAGCTTCTTACAATCCGACTCCCAGTGTCTAAATATAAGAAATGCTGATTTTGAGTTATTGAGTGCTCCTGCATAGTTAACAATTTTGAAAACCAGCTCTCTTAAGGTATGTGAGCAAGGATGCAGTTTTACAGTTTTCAGAACCAGGTCTCTTCTAACGTCGCAATCTGACACTGAAGAGCGGGATTTTGAAATGCCGCAAGTCTCTCTTAAGGCAATAGCAAGTGAAGCCTCACATTTAGGCACCTATGAACTTACAGGCTTATGGACTTAAGCGCTTGTTACTGAAACTCTATTCCAGCTGTAATCAACTAAAAAACTGAGGGGAATTTATGATAGTTGGAGGTCACTATGAGTCTGAATGATGTTCATCTACCTAAAAAAATGTACAGACGAGTGGGAAAGCGCTATAATCAGCATGTGCACAGCACAAGTTCATACTGATTTTTTCACCTGGAAACAGCAGAATTTGTACTAAGGCTTTACTATAGCTTAGAGCTACCATCCAAGAAGAATTGAATAACTAACAAAAGTAATAATCTGGGGGGAGTGGGGGTAGGGGGTGGTATTTTCTGCTTCCAAAATTGCCTGCCTATAGCATTTGATGAATTATTTACATTTTATAAAAAGTATCATCCACAGTCTAAAATTTGTTCAAAAATCTATGAACTAGTAATAAAGCATCTTGACTGATCCAAATGTTAAAACCTTCCTTAAACGCCATCCAAGTTTCACGACGCCTTTGCAAGAGATATTTTCACGATACAGAAGGATGCTCCCTTTGCTGCCAGGGTTCATTCGTGCCCTGCCAGAAGACAAAGGCCTTAGGCTCACTCATCTCTCCCACAGGTTTCAACATTTTTTTCAATAGTTTTTCAACTAGTTTTTTCAATTAGCTTCCAATCATCAAAACTCTTTCTTTAGCTCAGGTCCCTTTCCCGTGTGACTTCTCGCCTGTGCGTAGGCCTGTGACATCCCTAGACATGCGCTCTGCCAAATGACACCGAGCACAGCAACTGAGCGCAGAACAAAGCTTCCTATGCACCAGAGGTTTCCTTTTTTTTACAGCAGGAA